TCTGTATTCTCGCTTTTGCATAATAAGAATTTTAAAAAAAAATCAAAAACTTCTTCAGTAAATTTGCATTCATGTACAATCATTTGATACTTAAACGATGCGTACAGACATAATAATAGCACATAATTAAATAGAAAAATATCGTTGATACATGTTTAAAGTTTTACTCTCAAAATTCAATCTTCGATCAAATAAATTGAAATTATATGAAATTTTTAGGATATATTAAGGCTGTAGCGGAGAGAGTATGATAAATTTCTCGATCCTCTAACCATGACGTGTTGAGGAGATATTCAACAAAACAAGGTTAAAAATCACTCATTTGATAACCTAAAATTCTCTGTGGACCTTCGTTTTTCATACTTAACTTTTTTTGCTTGAGAGAACATGTCAAGATGTAAGGCATGAAAAGGTTCTTTTTGAATGAGTGTAGATTATAAAAAGAACTCTTTTATGTAATAGCCACAAAGCTTAATTCAAAAAAAGGAACTTTATCATGTTCAGAATCTTGACATGTTCTTTCAATCAAAATAAAAATGAAATATGTAGAATAAATGTTCGCAGAGTATTCTAGATTGAACGATAAAAAAAATTGCCAGGATCGAAACTCAAGTTTACAGTAAAATATTCTATACTTTAGAGAAAAATGATCTGATAAACCATAGAAATCAGAACATAATTCAAAAGAGATAATCCAAAAAAAGTGCTAGTTATTAACTAGGTGAATTGAAAAGATGAATGTTGAAGAATTATTTTAGATGTAATACGAATAAATTATAGAATAGTTTTCTCTATACTGAAACCAAACTGAAAAATTCTCACAAAAGAAGGTGCTGAATAAAAAAAAACAAATCATGTCACTTATAACAGATTAGGTATCGGACAATTTTCCTATGCATTTATCTTAATATTGATTATTCTAACCAAAATTTCCTTTTTTTTATGTTCGAAAAAAAAATTTTAAAACAAGGTCTTCGAGAACTTCTCAAGAGACCTTCAAAAACCATCAGACCTACTTATGATCTCGATCTTTGTTCAATCAGGCTAAGATCTTTTTTTTGAAGTATCTGATATAAAATTTCAGAAGTATTTTTAAGCTATTTGAAAAATATCAATCTCTCGATTTTTAATTAAAAATCAAGTAACTGTTCTCTTACAGAGAAAAAGAAGTGGGCTACAAGAGGATCACCCTGAAGTGATTATTTTGTCCTAAAGATACCTATGAAGATCATACAGACAATTTGTTGTATGAAACGAAGTGTTTTTTTTTTGTTTCGTATACAAAATATCCATACATTGTCATCAATCGAATAATAACTAAATCAAATGTCCTTGACTAAATAATCGTAAATAAATCAAACAAAAAGAAATGTGTATTTGCGAAACTATATAAATGTCGAGTTAATCAAAGTCAATATCTTTCGCTTTTCAAACGAAATTTTATTCTATGTATTATCTAGACAATTATACATCGTATCGATTTAACAATAAGATTGTTTTAAATAAAATTTCATCGTCTATTATGCATTGATTATATTGACATTCATATTTTAACACGTTAAACCAACATTTTGATTGATACTATGCTTTATTTTTCTGATAGTAAACAGAACAACAAAAAATTCGAGAGAGAGAGAGAGTACACGAGGCATTTTAAATGCAAGAAAAATAGTGTGTATAAGAAAAAGAAAAAAAAAATGAAGTTAACCAACCATCGTTTATTATGATTTATGACAATATTTGTCGTCACTCTTCCTCACAACAATCGTATGTATGCAGTTTGCATAATATATATTGTAGCATTCCCGTCAATAAAACATTCGAACGATAGACAGAAATGCAAAAGTCAGCCAAAGAGAAGCCCATGTACAGACGTATGATTTTTTTTTTATCTTTTACATAAATAGTCATTGAAAAAACAACAAACATTATTTGTGAGTATCGAAGACTATTTTTTACATGAGTACATATCAAAACTTGTATTCATATAGTAATAGTTTAGTTTCTTGTAATTTGTTTTTTGTAATTATTAGACGTTTATGAATTACTATATTCTAAATGATTTAAATAGAAATAAAAACTTTTATTTTGTATGATTTATGAATGATAATTGATAATAATATTTCAATTTTTACAGGAAAAAATTTGCTCAATTTATTACAACTCTTGAGATAATCTTTTGATAATAATTTCTTGTTTACTGTTATTATTATCTTGATTATATTCAAGGTTTTCATTGTACAGATTTCTTTAACATATTTTTATTATTTTCATATATTTATACGAATGATTTTTGTCAATTATGAAATCAAACCAAATTAAAGTTATGAATGGATATGAATAATAATACTGATAACTATCTAAAATCATGCTTTTTGTTGTAGACATCGAAGTATATATTGTGGTTTGTGTTTATATATATATTTTTTTTTCGTCAAAAGAAAAACTAGTGGACCAAAACATGTTGTCGTACAACAAGTGTTGTTATGACTCATTAATCATCATCATTGTTATTCATCATGGAAATTACCATTTATTTCGTATTAATTAACATACATCATCAGTTACCAATAATGTAGTTCTTTATTGAGTTCTGAGGTTTGTCATTGAAAAGAAAATTATACAAAAATAACCATATATCACAGATAAAATCAAATTTTCGAGATAGAAATATATCAATGACGATTTAATATTATTTATGAGTCAGGTGAAATTCGAGGACAAAAAATAAATATAAGGTTAAAAATTTTTTTCGTTTCTTTTTTGGTCGGCGTTTGTTAAGATAAAACTAGATTTTAATTAAATTTAAAACATAAATCTTTAAAAAAAACTTCTGTTTTTTATTTTATTTAGATTACAATATAGAAAATTCATTTTTCAATGATTTCAACAAATGAATTATCTTCTTTACCTGATCAACAACTACAAATATCTCGAAAAATTAAATTTTCCATTTGGAATACATTTAAACATCATATTCCACATTTTCTCATAACTATTCTTGTTGATATTATTCTTCCACTTGTTATTTATTTTCTTCTACAAAAATATATTAAACCTGTTTATGCACTATTAGCTGCAGGTACGCCACCATTATTTATGGTTATTTTCAAAGCAATATGGTGTTGTACATTTGATGCTCTTGGTTTTATTGTCTTTGTTACTTTTGCTATTTCAGCTGTTGTAGCTATTATTACACATAATGCAATTATACTTCTATTAGAAAAATCTCTTGTTACTTTTATTCTTTCAATTATTTTTGCTGTAACATTAATTCCAGTTCATTGTTGTCATCATCGTTGTCGTTTACGTCCACTTGCTTATTATATGTATCTAGATTTAGTTCCAACAAATCGAGATGAACTTGGATTATCTGAAAATATATTTAGTGATGAACAAATACAAATCAATAGTCAATATTCAGAACTTCAAGAAGAAGTTTCAATAAAACAATTATCAAATAAACAAGAAGTAGCACAAGTATATGAATGGATATATAAAAATTGTTCATCATTTCGTATGTCATGTTATATGATAACAAGTATTTGGGCAGTGGGATTTCTTTTAGAATTTCTTGCTCGATTATTTCTTATTCTTATTCATTTACCAATTAATAAGATTGTTCTTTATGCACATATAATACTAAGTTCAATAACAGTTTTATGTATCATATCAACAATTATATGTATTGTAATTGAACGAAGAAAAACATTATTACTTATTGAAAGATGGAATATACAAGGAAAAGAGAAGAAACTATCAGAAATATCTACATTATTTGCTACAGTCAAATACCATTCAAATCCTGTTCTATATATTGATACATAAAAATATAAATATGTTGTTTAAAATAAATTTATTTTTTGTTAAAAATTTATTTCACGTCATGAATGTTTGTTGACTTTATGAAGATATCTGACAAAAAAGTTATATCTACAAAAGAAACAACATCATCCCAAATATCAGCCTTACGCATAGAGTTCGAATACAAGATAGGTTTATCATTTGAAATAATTTTCTCATAAAATTAGAATTTTATGTTTTCTCTATTAACAGCTGTTTTTATAATCGATTGTCAGAAATTTATTGCACGTTGAACAATGACACTCAGATATTAAATCTTTATAACTATTGCAGACAAACTAAAAACAATACTCTGTAAAAGTTGTGTTTATTACCGTTTTAACCAATCACTTACAATTTTTTATGAATTATACTATGATTTATCTCAATATAATATAATGTCAATTGACTCATGTTTTTATGAGAGTAACATGAATTAAAAATGGTTCTTTCTATGAGAAATAACAATATATCTTTCATCAAGATTCGGAATGGGAGTAATTCTAAGCTGAGTTTATGCAAGTTTCTATTCTTTACAAAATAGTAGGTTCACAGCGAGATGAGAATTCACATCTGTCCCTTATATAGCAATTTTTTCATAGAAACAAAAAGCACTTTTTAGCAGTTTTTATCACCATGATACAATTAAACACGATATCAAGTCAAATACATTTTTGAGATTTTTTTTACTATAAAATATTCACCTCTAGTCTTCCAGGGCACAGTTTTCCGCAAGACAAAATTTCTTTAAATGTGTCTGACTTAATGTAGACTTTGACGCTGATTGCGAATGTTGTGTTTAATTGTGTCACGACCATGAAAACTGCTAAAAATGTTTTATTTTTCTATTACAAAATCATCAAAAAATGTTATACAAGAGAGAAATGTGAACCCTCAGCTCGCTCCGAACATACCATTTGGTAAAGAATAAAAAGTTGCATTGCATATATAAAACTCAGTGTGAAACTCTTTGTTTTTGAACTCTAATAGGAGATAGATTATTATCAAATGAACATTTTATACTTATAGAAACAATTATTTTTCACTTCTATTGGTCTTGTAAAATTTGAGTCGGTCAATACAACTTTATATTGAAATAGTACATATTCTTCAGTTTTTAATTCTCTAGCTCTTCGTATAATTTATTTAAAAAAAAAATTTTTAATGATTTCTTGAAAAGAAAACAAGCACAACTTTTTTACAGGGTAATTTTTTTCTCGTAAGGATATGATAATAGTATAAAGTCGGTTTTGACTAACTTTTCAAAGAAAAGCTATTGAAAGCTGAAATATTCGGATTAGTGGTTTTAGACATCGATATATTGAATGCGCATAACAAAGAAACTATTTTTTTTTAACCGAATGCCGCGTGTATTAGCATGGTACTTGATAGGCTCATGGGAATTCTGTTAATCTCGATTGACTAGAATAAATCTTCAAATTGATGTTTATAACTTATTAAAATCAGAATATATCTTAATAGTGTGGATTTGAAATAATTTGCTTTGTTTTCTTAGAATAAGTTATTTTATCATCTAATGCAATAAAAATCCTAATATCGATGGCAACAATATGTAATGACAACAAACAAATCAATTGATATGCGGCGTCAACAGGGGTGTCACGATGTTGCCAGGATTGGGGATTATTGACTCAGGAGATAGAACTTCTTTTCAGAACTAGTGAGCCTGCAAAAAAAACAATAAAGAGCTAGAACTTCGTAGAAGAAAATCAAAAATTTTTCAAGATTGAGCGCGACACTTCTGAGCGTTAAATATCTATTAGATCTACGTAAGAAGTATAACTGACACCTTTGTGAGTACGATGAAAAATAAATTGGTAACAAAAAAGTCTTAAAGTGAGAATTTTAAAGTTTATGGTGCATGTCAACTAGTGACATCTATAAATCAAAGTGTTCCGTATTCATATAACATGCATGATATTCTTTAAAAACAATTTTACCTTTTTATTAGAAATATTGATAGTAGTATCTACTCTAAATTCAATATTCTAACTGGTTCATCTATATTATCCAACCCATATTGATAAATGAGTCATAATAATAAAGCAACACTATAATTATGAAATAATGCACTCCATTTTCTACACATTCAATCTATCATCGTTCTATTTCGAACTTTAATTTATTGTAATTTTTTTTTCATGCCTTGTTCACCTAAAAAACGAAAACCTAATAGAGAAACTGAACTTATAACACAACAATCGATTGGTAGTATTTTTTAATCAACCATTAGATCCTGCCCTAGATGAAATGAATAATGATGAAAGTCCTCTATTAGGTAAATGTTCATTTCTTCGGTTTGATCAAAAACAAAATAAACAACTACATTCGGTTAATGAACAAGCGAAAAATATTCTTCAATGTAAGTTTCTTTAAAAAAAGAACTGGACGAGTTGGGGTTTGAACCCAAGACTTTTCGCATGCAAAGCGAACACTCTACCGCTGAGTTACACGCCCGCGGTTCTTCTATTCGAAAAAATTTCGTTTTCATGTGTTGTATTTTTTTTTCTTTCCTGTTCTTAGCTTCAAAATGTGAATTATTTATTAACGAACGTTATATATAAATATATTCCAGATGAAATAAGTCTGTCAACTATTTGTTCAGAAATTTCTTATGCTATTGATTATTGGATAATACATACAAAATTACGTTTTTATAAAAATGATTTAAATCCAATTTATTATATTAATAGTAAAGAAAACTTATTTCAATAGATAAACTTAATCAAATATATTTCGATATTAAACAATAATAAAAACAATAACTCTATGTTCAGAATATTAAAAAAAAATTATTTTATTTATTTTCAGATTAATAATGGATAATGAAAATCATTTAGTCGGAGAAAAACATGATGAAAATCCACCACAAGAAACTATTACATTTAAATCACTTGTAAGTAATTCTATAAAAGATTGAAATTCATCAATTATTGTATTATTCCATTTGCAGATAGTGATATTTGACATAAGCAATTTTACACAAAGTTTCATTATTCATCCTCTATGAGATACTAACGAGGGAAAATTTCCACGTAATATATCGCTTTTTAGCTGAAACTATATTCAATTAATCGGGCTTACGAGAGAAGATTCCCAGGTGTTACGCTCCGTTTTGAATCGGACATATGCCATTTTGTAGAGCTCAGTGAGACTAGCAAAAGCTTAAAAGGGTTCTTCCCCATGGGCCTTCGGAGTCGAGTTATGCCCTTTCTACTGAATTTTTGACCATTTTTTCGATATTGCGCAGTAAATCAAACAACGGAGTTTTGATCTGAAATTTTGCCCATAGATAGGTCTAATCATCTTTAGAATATCCTGAAAATTTCAGCTGAAAAGAATGTTCCTTTATCGAGATATTGGATATTCAAGTAGGTTGGCTTTTTGCGCCTTGTCTGTAAAAGTGATGATTTTTTAATAATTCAGTATCTCGGCAAAGGAACATTCTTTTCAGCTGAAATTTTCAGGATATTCTAAAGATGATTAGACCTATCTATGGGCAAAATTTCAGATAAAAACTCTGTTGTTTGATTTACTGCTCAATATCGAAAAAATGGTCAAAAATTCAGTAGAAAGGGCATAACTCGACTCCGAAGGCCCATGGGGAAGAACCCGTTTAAGCTTTTGCTAGTCTCACTGAGCTCTACAAAATGGCATATGTCCGATTCAAAACGGAGCGTAACACCTGGGAACCTTCCCTCGTCAGCCACACTCACGTCCCATATTCATACTGTCATACTGAAATAGTTTGACTAAAAAAAATGATCCATGCATCTTTCTCAAAATTCTTGTTAGATTATTCTTATTCCGGCAACGGGATATTTCGTTTAAATGCTTTCGTACATTTTCTAAGAACGATGCTGGCTCTCAAAACTCAAACAGACAAGTTCAGTCACGTACAAACTTATCAATTAAATCATTTGCTCTCATCGCCTTATTCAAGTGAACTATCGTTTAGTTTGAAATTTACGAGCGTACGCTTCTTATGTGTTTTTTAAAAAAAGAGTCCAAGCATTTTCTTCTTCCGTAAATAAATAGCACACGTTGTTGTCCTTTATATAATTATGTGATTATCGTTAGACTCTCTATGAGTCTAATAAATAAATCTTACAGACGTACTTCACATTACAGTCAGCTATAAATAGAATGTTATCTGATAAAAAAAAAGAATCATTGAAATGATGATTGTTACATCTCTCATCTCATATATACATGAGAAGTAAGTTTTTATCTTTACAATTATGAAACCCTGCTAATAAAGGAGATTATATATCAAAAGCGATGTCATAATCAAACACAGGACAATCAATTTTTGCTAATCACATGCAAACAAGTTTCATTCAAATATTTATTTCTACAACTATTTGCTTGATAGTCAATATCTCAGGTAACTGTTTAGAGTAGATGGTTAGCCATGGGAAAAGAAGACCGTCATTCAAATACTCCTATGCTTAACAAAATGACTTAGTTTTACTCTTATAACAGAATTTCTTTTTGGTATTAAATAAAGATACGTCTACTGAAGATCAAAGGTATATGAAACGTCGTCTTCAGATGTCTTACATTCTGTTAGCTGACAAGAGGAAATTTGCTTGCATATGTCAATCATTTGCTGACTTTAATTACATTAAGAAGTAAATAATTATTAAAAAGTGAACTTAATCTCTGTAATGTGAACTTTGCTCATGTAGTCAAAATTGTCATCGTATTTGAAAAATGACTATTGTGATAGTTATGAATGAGAAAAATAACAGTTGAGTCTATTTTGATTTCATCATTTTTATGAAGTCTCAATATAATCGTTAAACATACTGCATTACTGTGAAATTCGATTGAGAACTTACTTGATTGTCAAACTTATCACCTATGTTTAAGAATTGAAAATGTAACCGGCTGTATTTCTATGATGTGGTTTTATTTTTGAATATGAAGTTTGTCAACGAAGAGTGTGAGATGTTGGTCCTTTATTCTGTCACGCACATACATCCGAATTGCCATCGTCCTATAATTTCGAACTATTAAACAATACTTATGACTCTTGGCATTTGAATCGGATCTTCCTAATAATGGACAAAAATTCATAGATGAAGTTAATTTACACGTGAAGGTAAACTCGCTAATTTCAGTCCGCATTCTGGAGTTAGTCATTCAAAACTATGAAGTGAATCATAAAGGTAGCTTTATATATTAATGATCCGTGAAAAAATTGTCAAACATAATCGTAAGTCATTGAGAGAAACGATAATGAGAAATTTTCTCGAGATGGTTCTCATATTAATCATATTCGATAAATTTTGATTGCGTAATATACAAGTGGTGAACTTGTTCTGAATTCTGATGAGCGAATTTCGAGAAGATTTTTGTATTTCGAACCAAATTCATAATACTGGACGTCAGTGTTCACTACTATCTATAAATTGTGTGTTTCAATCTTAGCAATATTGCTCGAATGCATGAGATCGTAGAAAAGAAAGAGATCTTTCGAATTATTTTCATAAGCTGATATGCTATATATTTGAATTCGCCAGGCTAATATAATAATTAATCGAATATAGCTTTTGCAATGTTTTTACTTAGGAATAATTGCATTACTCATTGAATTAGTTCATTTTCGTTTAAGTATTTATTACTTTATTTTGGTTCTTAAATTACCGTATATGTTTCTATAGAGAGAACGGATTGAAACAAACTATCAAAAATAGAATGTATTGCCGGTTTGTTTTTTAACTTGAACAGATATTACTCAATATATTACTTACTCAAGATGGAACACTGAGTCTCATTTGTTGGTTGCACTACTCTTCAGATATTGATCGATAGCATCGATATATTGTTGATCGATTTGGTTATCATAAAGAGTTAGTGTGGAAAGTGTCTAAGTGTATAAATTAACATGAATATGGGAGAGATGAAATACAAGATGGGAAATCATCTTTTTGTGTTGTAATGCATTTGCTAAATATTGTGCTCCATCATTTCCGATTTGATCATTACTGAGAAATAGCATGGTGAGTGTCTATATTGAGAAAAGAACTGGGTGTGAAAAATGAGATGAGAAGATTTTGAACATGACTGTATTGTGTAGCAGAACATCAGCTAAGGTTTGTGCTGTATTGTCTTGAATTCGATTCATAAGAGGATGAAGTGTTTTAAGTATCTGTAAAAAGTTAACGTAAACATTGTTTTTTGAAGCAATAAAATGGATATGTGATTACCTTGTTCGTTTTTAATGCATATGCAAAATATTGGACTTCATCATCATCGATCTCGTTCTGACAAAGATGAAGTATAGTTAGTGTCTATGTCGAAAATAACCGAAATGTAATAGTAAAAGAGATTCAAACTAGTCAAAAAATACTGTGTTGTGTTGTAGTGCACTAGCTATTTGATGTGCACCACTGTTTCCAATATGAATACCATTTTGATCAAGTGTTTGGAGAGTCTACATCAATCATAATACTATCTATTGAATAAAGACAAAGTCGAACAAGTTAGCTACCATGTTGTTTCGTAATGCATTGACTAGATGCTCGACTCCTTCGCTACCAAGCTCATTCCTACAAAGCGTTAGTTTTATGAGTGTCTACGTAAAAATCTGAATTATAGGAAAACAACATTTCGACAATATGTTCTCCATGAATGAAACAAAGGACTTGACAAAGATTAGTGTCACTTCAATGTCGAATTCCAATACATTTGTCTCACCTTGTTATAACACAAAGCGTTTGCAAGGCATCGTTTCGTTGCATCTCATATCAAGTTCTGCACATTGTTTTATTTTCATCTCTTCGTTGGTCACTCAATGCATGTCTTCATCAGTTAAATTTTTCCAGGATAAATTAATCATCTTGCCAATGTCAGGTGCTTAAGATGCTGATAATATTTTTACTAGAAAGAATTTCTAAGAAAATTAGTGTGATACTTAAGAAAAAAAGCAGAAAAACAATTGTTTAGAATATGAAGTTGACTGTAGCATAATTCAACTTTCAAAACAAGTTAGAGAGAACTGAAAGTTCGAATTGGAGGGTTTCTTCGTATGAATTTTCTTCTACAGTGCTGGAAGAATTCAGCATACATTTCTTATAAATTTCTCATCCATAGACTAGTACTCTCGCGAATCAGCTCACAATCTACTCAACGTTGCACAGTTCAACTATTTATCTGTTCATTGCTCGCTCGAATCTTCATGTAAATCGTTAGACGATTTTTCAATTCTATTCAGTACTTTAATGACAATTTCTCCGATAAACAAATCAATTTCTACGTGACAGAGATTGACATGGATTTTTTATAGTCATATTATTGCTGTTTACAGGAGAGTATAATTGCGCTTCGCGTAAAGAATCGATGAAAGAACGTATCATCGCTACGGATAATATTTAATTTCCATGACGAACAAACGAGCAAGTGAATCATTAAAAAGTGTGTAAAGGTGTAAATCTTTCGTTTACCGTTATCGACACATACACTCACTTTTAGCTAACGTAGAGGATGTCTTTTTGCAAAGATACAACGCTGTAAACGATTGAATCGTCCATGGGTTGAGTTGTTTTTTTCTTACTTGATAGTAATTAAACTTTGGAGTAAAAGGAGTAAATGAAATTTATTTATAGTTGATTTTAGAAGAGAATGCAAGAAAAACGTATTCATTATTTAAAATCTGTCAAGTATTATCATATTCCTCTGCTATTGAAAAATAGTGTGTGTGGCTTTCCAGGATATAGAAGTAATTACTTTCAGCAATAGTCTAAAAATGTAGTTCTAACATGTAGATTTCTCGCTTTCTTTCAACTGTTTACAAGAAAGCTAAATAGTTTGTCTGAAATAAATTTCGTCCATTATGCTTACATGATAAGGCAAAGTAACAATGAGAGATGTCTTTATTATGCCTCGCTGTTAATTAGCTAATTTGCTTATCGTTATTTGTAAGTATTCGCTTATCTGCGATATATAACTTAAGCAAGACTCATCTTTGTTACTTCGAAATAATAAAAATAAATTCCATCGAATCCGACTATTATTTGTCGTTTTAAATGAACGGCGAAAACATTCCCGGATTGAATTTCTTGATTTACCCGGGTCACATCAACTAAAGGTAATTTTTCCTAGCATTGTACTTCATCAATACAAAAACGAAAGCGATGTAGACGACTACATTATTACGATCTTGTCCAAAGAGAACTAATTACCAATATGAGACAACGTTCATTTGATCGAACTTATTTCAAATCGATTTAGCCATTTGTTCATCTGAATATTGACTCAATATCGGTTAGGCCGATAGATAATATTTGATTGAAGGATACATACGCTGGATTTTCAAAGGATTGTTAGCTTTGGAGTTGAAGTTAAATCCTTGAGAAGTTTCAAAATATTATCTTTCTTTTGTGATGTGGTATATTAGTCTCTATCAGAGACTGTCATCGACACTTGCAGATGATTTTTCCTAGATTGTATAACAGATCTGAATAAATATAAAAATCACCTCGATTGTGTTTCATATTTCAATGTTGTAGTAATGGTATTGAAAGCTTTTGAAAAATATCAAAAGTTTACTAGTAATTTGCTCATAGCATTGATTTCGCTTATTCTCTGTTGCTTACTCGTCCAGATCGATATTCATGTTCTCAAAAACTATTTTGACCGATTACTATACATAAATACACTAATATATATATATATATAATCACTATTTTGTGGTAACGAAAATGTTTTTTCTCTCAAGATTCTGTCGCATATCAATATACTCACAAGAAGTGCAAAAAGTTGCCAATATTTTCTTACTTAGAGAATTCTTTTAAACTGATAAGTCATTTTTTCAATTATTTATATTTAAAAAAACAAGTCTTTATGATGAAGACTTTTCTATACAAAAAACTGAGGCCAAATGCGAACTATAAAAAATTCTTCGGTCTCTTGACCTTGGTTTCAAATAATTTATTTTTTTAAGGAAGATAAAATAATGTGTACAATGAGGTTTAGATACCATGTCTTGATTATAGGTGAATAATAGATGGATATGGTTTCATCTCTCCCTCTATTCCAAGAATTCTACTCTCACGCCTCACAAAGTCAAAGACGCATTGAAACTTCGACACCATCGGGTATGTAATTCGAATATTCAAGTTTTGACTTATGCAATTGTGTACTGTAATCTGGTGAGTTTCGAATATATTTCAGATAGTCTGGTGCGCCTGGTATTACCACATTGTCGGCAACAATCACGGTGCCACGTTTAACCAAACCTTCCTGCTCGAGCAGTTTCAAATCACGCAGATAAACATTTTTGTTGTGATCAATAAAAATCAAATCGAATGAATCGACATTGAATAGTCTTCTTAATTGAGGAATGGCTAGATTAGTCGAGTCAACAACGATGTGAATTTGATGATCGACACCAGCATGTTCATGAATACGGCGAGCAATGGCAGCTGACGCTGAATTTGATTCGATCGTAACGAGTAGAGCATTTTCGGGCATTTGTGCAGCTATTCTCAATGAGCTATAGCCGAGAAAAGTACCTGAAAACAATATAAACGGGCTAAAGATAAGTAGGTTTATACATAGCAAAGTATATTCCAAGTCGATCTTAGAAGAAGAGTAATTTGGAAAAATGTTTCGTACTTTTGTCGCTACAAAATTTCAATAAACTATCATCTGAGACAACGATATTTTCAAAGATGAAGTATAAACAAATGATTCAGTCATAGTTATTGACAATTAAATTCTCGCAAGACATTTCGAAATGTATAAAGGAACATATACTGCATTTTTGTCTTTGCAAAAATTCATTTTTATAGTCACACACAACGAAGTTGATTTCTCTATTTGCGGTATTCATAGGTTTTTTTTATCATGCACATTCATCTAGATCATTGATCATTTTGAATTCGGATACTCTTGTTGCTAAGTGGAAATTTAAGAAAGTTATCCCCTTCAATGCTGTATTATGATATCTTTTAACGTAATTCCTACGGGATCAAAAATGTGAAACACGACAGAACCACTTTAACTATGATGAAGTAACTCCACTATATCCATCGAAGGTCATTCACAATCAAATACCAGTAGATCCTAAATTTTTAGTAGCTATACACATTACGACAGATCTGACGACATCTTTGTAATGGTCTGTGGAGTAGGATAAAGCGAAAGAGTTTATTCTAGAAAGAAATATTTTGAACGGTGAGTACAAAATGAAAGTAGAATATATTTTTCGAAAGGCTTACTAGACAATTTATAGAATTGAAGCATTGTGAGAGGGATTATTTTCGTGCAAACTAAATATTTTGTTAGGCAAAAGTAGGTAGACATGTTTGATCCGAGAGATAATTACCAAGCTCAAGAATTGTGTTTGGACTTCTTGATCGAATCGCATCATCGAGTATTTTCCCCTTTTTATCACCAATATTCATGAGCCATCCTTTGTTCCAAGCGAACTCATCAATTGTATCGATCACGTTTTGAATGTCACCAGGACGGCTCTTCTTAAGGACATATTCCAACAATGCTGAATGTTTTGAGCCCATTTTTTCCTTTATAAGAATGTCCTATGCAATCCGAACGTCATTTTTCTTCCTATATATATACTTCACCATCGATTTTATGCTCCATCATCAATAATGACAAAGCAAAACGTTCGCTTGCTGCTTTTCTTGATTTCTTTCAAAATGAAAAAGTTTGAATCGGTTTCCATTTTCTTCATTCTTCTCCTCACAGTTACAGCTTGTCTGTTACACTACAGACGAGAACTGAGGCAAACAGAAAAACACGTGACTACGATATGCTGCTTTTGTGGCTTCCAACAAAATGCGATTTCATAAAAATATGAGAGAGCATTTCTGTAGGTTTTTACAAAAAGCACTCTTGCAGAAGCTGTATATATTCTCACATGACGCATTGTATACTCATAATGCATATTTGTCTTCTTACGAAAAGCCTACAATGCACTATAAAAGTCCAAAACATCATGAGACGAAAAAGTGCATCAGCTAAAATTTTGATAAAATGTTTCGGGTTATCACATCCATCGATCCATTAAATAAAGAGTTCATTGTTATGAAACAGTGTTTCCAATGAATATGTAGAAGAAATCTATATTTGTCTTCGATGCTAAACTCCAGCAACGTGTTGAGTACACGGGTATATGAGAAGGTCTCTCAACAGGAACAAAATTGAAATGATGACAAATACTATTCTGGTCTTATGGCGCATTATACAGTCTCTATAGTTCGATCTAAATCCTAGAAAAAAACAATTAAAGTTTGAAACCTACAACCTGAAATCTGAGCCCTCAATTTTTTTCGAAGTTCGAAAGCTAAATAGAACAGTGACATTATTGTGAAACTAATAAGAGGAGACGTAAAATCTTCTAATTTTGAGTACAAGATTTCATGTTGCATTATTTTTTCTAGTGTAGAAGTTATCGTGTTGAATTCAAGATGAGATATTTCACGTATACCATGAATCATTGATATATAGACATTTTCTATTCGGATGCAATGTTTGAGTTCTTTTCAACATTAAGAGCAACAGATTGTGTTTTGAAATGTAAAAGAAGAAATAATATCCTTCCGTTTCGACTATCTTTCAATGTGAGATTCCGCCGAGAATAAGAATTAAAACGCTCTTACTGAACGAGTTTTTGCTTCAGGTTTAGTTCCATCTAGACTATAAATGAAATCAGTACATTTGATTTTATATACTTATAAAAGTATATTTAGCTGATAAATATTTATTAGATTTATTTTTGCATAGAGATAATGTTAAGCTCATTTTTTCATAAATATATTCCTCGAGTGACGTATAATATTAATGACGCTCACAGTTTATTTTGTTTTAGTTTATAAAAGATAACTTAGAAATAATGAGACTCTCAGTATTATCAGTTTTTCTTCTCTTTAATGCACTTGATTGAACCAACGTTTTTATTAAAAGATTCCGCATTGAATTCTCTACAAGAAATATATTAGTTATTTTATTGTGTAATCTGCAGATGAAAACTGATATGATGGTGAGTGTGGACGCGAGTGTGCGAGAAAGGATCTATTGTTCATATATTTCCACACTCACATATCTAATCTCTATTTATACAAATAGATCTAAGGAAATATCATATTACACAGTCATCAATCAAAGAATGGACTTGCATTTATTAATAGTGAGTCAAGCGAAAAGTGGTCAGAAAATAAGTTTGAGTAGATAGAATTGTCCACTTTCATGTGAAACGATGAATAATTCGATCGTTTGACAAGAACATCTAAGGATTATTACTCTAGCTATTATATCCTTTGGAGTTCATATTTTCTTCATAAGTAGTTCTGCAGTCTATTAGCAGAACTGTGAAACATTGATTTCTTATTAAAAAATCTGACGGAAGTAAGTCATTTTCGGGACGCAACTATTTCATCATACTTGAAAAAAAATCGACTTTGGCTTATCATAGTATAGAAAAATGGTATGTGTTTTCCAAAAAGATGCATATTTTGATCAATTCTGGATAATAAATAAAAAGAATCTTTCAAATTGACAAGCTGTTCTAACTAATTTCCGTTTACCTACTTGGCAAAAGCTTAAGAAAAAAATCCAAAAACAAAGTGATCAGATGGTGATGAACTTACTCAATTGTTAGTGCAAGTGTAGTCGATCTAACCAGTTTCAAGAAACGATCAAAGAAAAACAATAATTTTTTTCCTGCAATGCAATTTATCTCATACATAGAAAACAGAATCGGATAGTACAATGACAAATAGGAACATTTTATTGCCAATATATTTCAATTATGCTAACCAATTGATATCTAGAGACTGCTCTGAGTTACAGAAAAACAAACATGAATATGTGATTATAATTAACGTGACGTCTGTTTATCTTAGCGACCGAATTTCCTTATATTTAAATAGCTATTGGATTGGAAGACGTTTGTCTCTACAAAATTGACAAATTACCGAATATGATTACGCAAGATTATTCGATTCTTAATGGAATCGCTACATTTCATAGCTACCTTAGGCTTTTTCTATGACATGATTGATACTTCTCGATCGTCTACCCTTAATAAAAGAATAATACAATTTTCTACTTAGTAGTACTTGTGACATTAGCTGCCGCCACTAACTGTATATTGATCGGCAAGCACGCCGAAAAAATAGATAAAAGCTATTTTTACACAATAATATTCATTTTATTTGTTATCATTGCTTGTCTTTTTCTTCCAATACATGCGTATTTTATCTTGACGTTTATATGCTCTACGTCATTTACATAAACACAGCAAAGTTTCTTTCTGTCTCGCTTGACATTGTTATTGTTTGCTTCGACTTTCTTATATAAAGTGTTTTCTATCAATAGAATTGTGTTGATAATTAGTTTCCGAGTGTATTGTCTTTCCATTTTCCCATTGTTATAAGTATCTTTGGTTTGTACAGTATGCAGTTTTTTCTTTCTGATAAAGCGAAAGGAAGAAGTGCCGTGAAAAGCATATTGCTCTACTACGAATATGCTAGTGTCTGTACGACCTTTGAACCTATTCTAACATCATAAGTATGTAAAAGTATCATAGCGAAGTACATAAATATCCATATGATTATATACGGGCATAGCTAAATTTTTGAAAACATTCTTGAAATATCGTTTAGATTTTAAATGGCTATTCAATGATATTCGACATATATCATTTGCTCTTTCACTTCAGCTATCAATATTCTTTGCTCGCTTCGTCTGTCAACTGCCTAATCTTTCAATATTCTATCAAGATGTGTTCTGCACTTATCTATTCTCTATGATAGGATTCTTTTTCATTCTCTATATAGAATCTTTCATCAAAATAGCTGGTCAGTCTATTTGACAATACTATTTCTTGTATTAAACCATATCTACGTAAAATTTATACTTCATATAAATAGGACATGCACTTATGGAATAAGCTTCTTCAATAATATGGTGTTTTTGGAAAATATTCATTATTTATTTTTGAAAATATATCTGTTTCGCGAGGTTTTTTCATAGAATATCTTTCTGTGTTCTCATAAATCGAAGAGACTACTTCTTTAAGCAAAGAATTTGTAAAAAAAAGTCTTGATTTTATATATGAAATAATTAGTTGAGTGTTAATTATATTCTTATTAATGAATGGCTAGAAGTTAATAGATCTCTGAGGTGTGGAGTTAATGTTCATCTTCTAGAAAAATTATTTTCAATTATTAGTTATTCCACTTGACTACTAGTAAAAAAAACTTTGAAAGATGTCAACTCACAAAAGAAATCAAGTTCAAAAGTTCTTTGATCAGTTTTATGTTTTTACTTTTTTTCCTGAATAATTTAGGTATTTCGTGACTATTTGACCGTGAGAATTGCCAGCAATACTTTTATAATAAATTAATATAAATATTTCAAATAGTTTATACAAAACGATGGAATTGTTTTCATTAACGACCAACACAAAAATAACTGACATACAATGGCATGTATATCCAATTGGCTTTTTTCTATTGTTACTATGTTTATTCACTATAGTAGGAAATTTTTTAATAATATATATTGTAATTCGTGAATATACATTACATACAGCTAAAAATTACTATATTGCATCATTGGCATTTGCTGATCTCTTAGTCGGATTAATAGCGATGCCTTTTGGATTTATATTTACAATGACGGATGATGAATATTGGTTGTTTAGACGACATTTGAAATTTGTATGTGATTTTTGGCATTCGACGGATATATTTGCATCAACAGCATCTATATGTGGACTGACTACTATTGGACTAGATCGATACGTGGCCATTACAAAACCAATGACATATCCAAATTCATTTGTATCAACGAGATGGTATTATGTGTTATCATTCATATGGATATGTTCAGCAGTGATATCTATACCAGCAGTAATTCCTTTTGGAACAGAACAAGTGTCTTCTCGTACGTAAAAGAAAATGTTCATTTTTTGTTTAGTATCGAGATTGTTGCCCATTCCACCCACTAATCTTTGAGTCAGAACTATCTTCATGTGCAACAATGTTACAAATTCAAACAAAATGATTGTGAATGAAAGAGGAATGAGTTCTCAACGATCTGTGCGAGTAAACATTTATTCTGAAAGAAATTTAGAAGTTCTAATCGAACACTGGTGCATTTTTATCGTATTGACATGTCAACAAATTTTCGTGGAGGATTTTTGTTAAGGTAGTAATAATTGTTTTCTTTATTTAACTATCAACTTGGAAATGCATAAAATTTAAGGTGAGTTATTCACTTGATTAATAGATTTTATCTATTACCTCATTTGATATGCTTCTTATGCATTAAAAAAAGATCTTAGTCTAGTGATCAACGTTGTGCTTTTGAATAACTTGATCTTTTTTTTTCTTCATTAACTCGTGATTTCATTGATAAACAAGCTTTGGCAAAGTATTATTCATATGACCACTGTCTAATCGATCAGATAATAAGATTGAGATGTATAGAATATACTTTTTAATATTTCCGACTTTGTTATTTATTCACGAAAAATGTCTCGGCTGCATACCAGTGTTAATGAGAACATGCATATATGAGACACTTGACACTTTCATTGTATGCATGTATAATCTTCTCAATTATTGTTTTGGTGTTGATCAAAATGTTACTATTGTTCTTATCGAAAGTTCTCTAGAAGATATTAGGACATGATTTTTTTTTGTTTTTAGACTTGTGTTGAATGTTCCATGGTCACGTTCGACAGATGCTAGTCGGAGCAGTTTCAATTTATTGGGAAGTTAATATGCATGTCACCGTGTGAAATGAACTATAGAAGTTATCAACCTTACAATATTGATGAAATCGTTATAGGCATTAGGACAAAACTATGATAATAAGCCATACCAAGAACATTTTCATGATTAAATGTGGAGTAATTGCCTAGAGAACCATAATCTTGAACACTTGCAGTAGTATGATATAGAATATCTTAAGCTAAAATTCGAGTTTTTCGTGAATGGATTCGTTTAGTGGCTGATTTCAAATAGATCTCGAGGGGCTCTATGGATTTCTGGTGTTGCTTTTCAAAATCGATTGATTTAAGGACAAGGAAAATTGAAAATACTACGAAACTTAACGAAAATCCTTCACAAATCGTCCCAAATCGATTCCAATTGTTATCATTGAGCTTCGAGATAGAATTTTTCATGCTCTGTTGAATGCATTCCTGACTAATACGATTTGACAACTAATATAGTTTTAACAGCAGAGATGAAATTCATTTCAAATCTAACTTATTTATTTAAATAAGTAACTTACGTTTCGCAACATTGAATTGGGTGTGAATGCAGCCCTTCTCTTCACCCATACTCTTACTGTTGTTCACTATCATGTCTGATTTAGGACGATTAACTGTGGCAAACCAAACAATGTTAACAGCTTCTCCGCTATCGAAAGAATGTGAGTTTCCAGAGAATCCGTATTATATATTATTCGTAACTATGATATCATTTTATCTGCCATTAATCGTTATGATTTATGTCTATATTCAAGTATATTTGACAGCTGAAAAACAAGCTTTAGCACTTCGTTCAGGTTGCAAACGTCAGCACTTGATTAAATCTACACAATCATGGATTCCAAAATTTCGTTTGAGAGAAATGTTAACTGAGAAAAAATCAAGAATGAAAAAAACAGCAAAAAACTCTCATAAAAGTGTACATGAAAAATCAGACGTGTTATTACAGAATCGTAGACCGCCATGTGAATTACCAACACTGCGTATTCATTATGGGGCATATCAACATCCAACTATAGAATCTATTAACCAGAATCACGAAAATGACAATAAATTTGTCAATAAAATTCCAAGACAAAATGTAGGACGAAGAAATATTTGGAGACGAATTTCAAGAGATCAAAAGGCCGCTAAATTTGTCGGGATTGTTATGGGTGTATTTATTGCTTGTTGGTTGCCATTCTTTGTTTATCTCATACTGAGTAATGTTATTGGTTTGCGTTTGAAAGATAATCAAAATCATGAATTATTATACAGCATACTTACGTGGATAGGATATTCCAATTCGGCATTGGATGTTCTTATTTATGTTTTCACTTCTAAAGAACTGAGAAAAATGTTTTCAAAAGTATTTTTTAAGTCATCGCCCTAGATATGAATGTAATAAATTATAATTTTATCTATTATATTATTTGAATTTTCTTCCATTAATGCAGTTTGATTATTCAGTTTTACAATGATTTTTCTTTTGGAAAACAATGATTGAAATGAAGTCAATTGAAAGTTTTGTATTTATTGCAGTGAGTCAAGCAAAAAGTGGTCAGAAAAGATGTTTGAGTAGATAGCATTGTACACTTTCATGTGAAATAATGGGGAATTTGAGCGTTTGACACCAAAATCTCAGGATTATTACCCTGACTATTGCATTCTATTCAGCTCATATTTTATTCATAAATAGTTGTGTAGCCTGTTAGTATAGTAATTTTAGGTCACAACAATTAATCAGAACAAAACGTCGTCTTCTAAGGAGAAAAAAAAAGCAATCCAATGCATAGACTCGCTGGTCAATTGAGAGTCATTCACGTTATCAAATGAAAAATAAATTACTCACTAATAGTTTTCAAAATCAAAAGAGTAAAATGGATGGAAGTCTGATAAAGAAAATTGTTCGAATGCTAAAATATTTGTTTCACGTTTACTATTTGTTATTTTCACTATAAGATTCCTGCTAAATGGACTGGTACAGTTGTGAAACAGCATAAATGCTCTTGGTTGTTGAATTATTGTAGAAAATAAGGAGAGGAGACGATCTCTTATGCGTCAATCTGATGCTAGCTACTGCTGAAGATAAGTTGTTGATTCATTGTATTTTGATTGCATTTCGCTGTCGGCTGGAGCAGATGTAAGTCATAGTGTTACCTCATCTAGCTTCTCTATTGCTCTTTATTTTCTCGACTTTCTTCATTTGTTCATTATATGATCGTATTTTAGAATTACTTTAACAAGAATGATTCGGGATGTTTTCTCTTATTTCTCATCACAAAAGTCAGTGTTTTCTTTTTCAAAAAACCTCGCATGGCGTCTAATTCTTATTGGTTTGCATTTTTATTAATTTTATTTACTGTCATTATTTTAATTGTAATAACCGATATCAGTTCGGACATGTAGTATCTACGAAAACAGTATCATGCTGAAAAGCACAAAACCAATTAAATTATCATTCAATATCACGGTAATCAAGTCCTTGACGGTGATTTAGTGAAAAAATCTGACACTCAAATAGCTCCCACTGTTCAAATCAACTTGAAAACCGATTTACAAATGCCAATTTTTACACTAGTAACTTCCCATGTAAAAAAATGACCGGAAAAAGCAGATTTTAATCGATTTTAATCTAAGATATCCGCATTATGGCTTACACAAGTGAGCGTGAATCGATATCGTATATAGGAATGTGTCAAGGGTAGGACTAGTACTACACTTACCATTTGTCGACGCAAGAAGTCAGAAACAATAATAAAAAATTCAAGTTTCAAAGTGACAACTGGAGAAAAACGCNTATAAAAGACTGTACATGTACTCTTTCAGCTGTCGAAAGGTCGCCTTGCTTTCGCTCACTTGTTTCTTTCGCTATATCCCTAGTATAGATTAGCAAATGTAATATATAATATGCATGATAATGTGATATATTAAATCAATGTCATGACCTCAACTGCTTATGTCTAAGTATGAAAGAAAAGCAAAACGAATGTTTATTTTCATTTATTGACTATATTTATTTCATTATCGCTGATTGCTTGCGGATACTTTGTTCATAATGCTTTGCCATTGGGTTCTTTATCTTAGTGGAATTATTGGTGTGTTAGTAATTTTTAAACCTTTCGTTGATAAAGATCTTTTAACATTAACAAAACATCACCGCATGGCAACATTTCATAGAATGATTTCCTTTCGAAGTAAAATCTTGTCATTTCTACATTCTCGATCAATAGAAATGGATGCAGATTCAAAAGCATTAGTTGAAGTAATTTCACTTTATCATTCAGAACTTGATTTAAGTGATGATTTAACAGATGATGACATTGAACACTTTCGTTATCATTCAAAACAAATATTAACTGCTTTATTTCCAGCAAGATCATCATCTTGTCTTATTCAACATCATACATTTCAATATAATAGTAATCAAATAAATATGTATTCTATACAACATGAACAAATCAATGATTGGAAATGTTCTAATCAACCATTAATTCTTTATTTTCATGGTGGTGGATTTGTTTTTGGTGATATTGATACATATTCTGGTTTTGAATGTCATTTATCAAAATCTCTTAATGCATTAATACTTCATGTTGATTTTCGTCTTGTACCTGAATATACTCTTGAAGAGACAATTGAAGATATTATTAATGTTTATAAATTTTTACTTGATGTTGATTCAAATATTCATCGACGATTAATTGGAATGGGTGATTCAACAGGTGGAATGCTTTGGATTTATCTTTTACAATGGATTATATCAAATAATAAATCTATTCCACAAGGTGTTGTTTTACATTCTCCATGGCCTAATCTAGAATATATGGATAGATTTGTTAAATACTCTACTGATAATTTATTATCAGTAAAACTTGCATATAATTTAAGACAATTAGCCATTGGTAAAGATACTTATTGGTTTGAAGTGACTGATAAAGAACTAAGTAAAATAAGTCCAAAAGAGAATTCATTTAAAGGATTTCCACCAGTTTATATAACAGCTGGTACAAATGAAATAGCAATTGATGCAATTCGTAATATGACTGAAGCAATGCGATTATCAGGTGTAGAAGTAATATTAGATGAAGGTGAAGGATTAATGCATACATATGCTTTATTTCATCTTTGGTCACTACAAGGTAGATATGCTCAAGAAAAAATTCATTGTTGGACTCAAGAACAATTTTTAATTGGAATACAATCGACATCGAAAATGAATAACATTAAAACAAATCAAATGCATATTTATGATTCTGGATCAAGGTCTTTTGATGCAAACAGAATTTGAACTCTATGTTGTAGTTTGAATGTTATATTGGAAACCTCACTTTTTCTTTGAATTGGGTTCGTACAAATGCATAAATAGTTTGGGACTTTGTGACAAACAAAGTTGAGATTTAGAGAAAACGAAAAAGAATTTGTAAAAAATTCAGAAATAAAATCAATCGAAATTGATTAGAATAAAAATTTTATCTTATAAAATTAATATTTTTTATGTCTAAATTCAAATAAAGTCTAGCTGAATCTAAAACCTTGTAGAGTTCGTGATGGGTATCAATTGAAATCTAATGTATTTTGTCAAACTCCGAACGTATGAAAGAATCGTTTAGCTTATGTTCACTGTTATCAGCATTTTAATTTCATAAATTCACTATCATCACAATTGTTATCAAATTTTTCTCATACAATTTTAGTCTCGCACAGAACAATTTATGTATTTTGAAAAGCAATTACAAATAATGTAAAAGTTTTTGATTGTGTAAAACGAGCAATGATATCGCTTTTGGTTTTACCTAAGACCTAAGGAGAACAGAAGCAAAATGGAATTTGTCTCTCTAATGTTGACATTGTGAGTTTTAAGGAGAGGAGTCGGCAAAAGATCTGCCAAACTTACATAGGACTGTTTGTCGATAAACTATTTTTTGACTTTTTACTGCTCAAACAAGAGATTATATCGTGAAACTTATGCATTCAACAAGAATGAAAAACAATAAATAAAATCGTATCTCATTATGATTTTTTAAGGTAAACCTATGATCTATATATCCGCTATCGAAATTCTTTGAAGTTGTTCAACAAATATTTAGGAAAGAAACTTTTTTTAAACTTACAACAATTGAATGTACGACTATTTCATATTCTAAACTGTAGAATAAAATACTCTAAGTTTATCTTATGTGCTTCATAAAAAAGCAGTACGTTTCGAGTGATCATACTATCTATTGTAGAGATATTTATATTTGTATATGTATAGAGTCCTGCAAAACAGATTTAGGTTACAAGATTTCTTATAGTACATCGAGAGATTTTGTAGTATTTTGCTTCGTTTTTACTTGCTCTTCATCGATATTGATAGCATAAAAACTGAATCTATGGAAAAATTTGCACTCGAGTATCAAAGAAGATTCTTGTAGTGCAAGGTAGGATAGAGAAGGTTATAAATTGCGAAAATGTCATGCTCTAGCCCTCTAATACACATGCGCACCTTGATGGTTGTTAACAGCTGAAAATATTTATCGATTATACCGTATCATGTCATTTTTTTCTCTCGTGACCTAATTGACATGAGAAGAAAAAAACAAGCCATTACGATGTTTCTCTAAATGTTACTTTAATTTTTATCATACTTGTCTTGGCCAAACACACATATTCAACGTTTCTGTGGCAACATATTAAAGATCGATGAAAATTAATTTTTTTCAAAGATCGAAGCTTCGTACTAAGGTAGTGTGTGAGTGTAACTTTTCTTGTACGTGAAACTTTGCCAGTCAATAAAATAATCTAACCCACAAACATACTCTTCTTTGTTCATTGTTTTCAAATAAATTAAGTATAATATATTAGACGTACGAGTCTTATTCGATTCTCTTTCATCCGCAATATTTTATTATTATAAACACAATGAAACAGATTGAACAGGTTAAATAAATTTTAAAATAGATCTGTTTATATTCTTAAATTTGAATTGGCATTGGTAGAAGAACAGAAGGATGTTTTAATTCTCGTATTTGTAATATCATTGGTGCTACTTGACTGTTACATAACTTTAATTTCATAAGTATTTGTTTAATTTGTGGTGTAATAAATATGATTGCTATACTCAGTATAAATACCGTTACTGCTGGACCCAAAAATTGTATTCGATACATATAATATGAGCCTGAAAAACGAAAATCAATATTTGTCATGATTGCGAAAACTACATTTGGTATTCCAGGTAAAGTAAGAGCAATGACAGTAAATAAAATACGACGAATAACAATGAGATCACGATGAGCCCTTCTTCGTTGTCGTTCTTGTGACAATTGAGACGCTTGATAACGAATAAAATGTAGCAAACGAGCATAGATTATCATCAGATGAACAAGAGGAACAAAGAAAATATTTATAATCGTATAAGAAAGTCCAAGAATTTTTTCATATCGAATACCACAGTAATAATCTGATTCATAAAAAGAATAGAGTGGTCCAGGCCAAAAGTATGACGGAAGAATTAGAAGAAAACAAATAACCCATTGAAGTAGAATACATATTAAATTGAATGAAAATGCCTATTATTACAATTTTGTTTAGATTATTTAAACATCAATATAAACAAATATATCAAGCATGTTTAAAAACTATGCATGAAAATAATAAGATTAAAATTTTCATACCTGTAAAAATTTATATTTGTTATATACAACTCTTGTTAATCGATGAAATGCTTGCAAAACAAAAGTCATATATAAACAACCAAATGTTTCATAAGTAAGAAAACCTAGAACTTGACATCCAATTAATTTTTTATCGATACCATATAAATCTGCTTTAAGAGCAATAAGAGCCTGTGATAGAAATATAAGAGAAAATGCAATCATAGCTGCATATGTATTTGTTGCAAGAAGAAGTGCAACGTCTTTTTTTTGTGATAGATGAATGACCAAGATAAACAGCAAAGTGAAAGCAATCAATGTTGTAAGACTCGAGCTGATTAGAATAATAAAAGTAAGAATAATATTAAACAACATCATTTTTTCTTAATTGAATGTTAAAGATGTATGTTAGAAAATGACATTTTTTCTTCTAGTTTATCTCATATTTACTCTTTCATAAAAGAGAGAATGTTTTTTATTTTTGACTCAATTGACTGAGTAAGTGTATGACAAGAGACATTTTCTTATTCAGTAAAACTCTACTCGCTTTAAGCAATTTATTTTCTACTTAAAGAACTTTTAACGTACTTTTTATTACATCAAGTGAAGAAAAAGAAAAAAATAGTTTTATTAAATATGTAGTTTCAGTTAAATTTCGATTATATTCTTCAACTCATAGTTGATAGTGAAGGTGTAGTCAACAGATGTACATCGAATTTGTTTTAGGTTCAAAATACTAAAGCGTACAAAATTTATGAATACTTTGACCTCAAGATTTTTCCTCTTAATAAGATGTGTCTATTCATTTGCTCATTATTCAGCTGTGGTTTTCATACAATTTCAAATTTATGGAAGGTGCTGAAAACTCGAAACCTCCACAATTTTTTTTCTTGATATAACTTTCTTTTGCGTAGTTGGATAGAGTGTATCGAATCGCCTAGAAAGAAGTTAGTTTTTCAACTTTTTCTAGGTATGGTTAAAAAGTACATGTGAAGAAAACGTCAAGTTTGAAACTTAGTAAGTAGGCAATGTTTGACAAGAAATTAATGAATGTTTTTTTCCATTCCTTTTCATCAAATCTTTTAAGAACTTTGGTGTGATGTTTCAAACAACATTGTTTTACGAAACCTATTTTATGAAAAATAGTTTTTTCTAAATCAATTTCATCTGGATAATCAGACAAAGGTCTTGAAGAAATTTGATCAAAAGCAGAGAAAGAAGAACAATCCATTAGTTTGCTGACATGAATTGGTTTCTAACCAAATCTTCAATGTGAACTTTTCTTCAAATGTCATCTTGAACATCACGTAGAAAAATTTCAAAAACTAGCTTGTCCTAAGCAAGTCATTGTGTTCTATCCGACTACACAAAAAACATCTAGATCGAAAAAAAAAATTGTGAAAGTTTTTAAATTTCAGTACTTAATTACCTTTAAAAATTTTGCTCTTCAATATAAATTAAAAGATGATACGTTATAATAGAACTAATATTATCATTCACGCCAGTTTCTACTGCAGCTCTCTCACGTCTTGAACAGAAGAGCTCTAGAAACTATAGTATATAATCAAAAGACACATGAAGAAAACTAGACAACAAGAAAGATACTTTCCGAATCCAATTACTTTCAACAACATCATATCATAAGAATTTATATATCTTTTACTACAAGAAATAATTTGATCTGATTATTTGAGAAGCACAGAAGAGTAGAGTTTTCCTTTAGATTATAAAAAGAATTAACAACTATTTATATCCGTGTTATAAGTCGATTGAGTGAATGTTGAATTATTCTATGAAAATAGAAATATCATGTACGGAATCTCTTTGTAAAACGCATGTCTGTTTAATTGCGCATTTTCTTTCAGCAAATATTTCCGTAGAACTTCCTATATAAATATCAAACATTCAAAGAAATAAATAGATTCTAATCATTGGTTATACATGTATTGATCATGTGTGTACTAAAATGTGATTATAGAAAATAATTAATATATCTATTACAACATCTAATTATAGTAGTCATAATTAAATCATTCGTTTATAAAGTATCAATCGTATAATAAACATAGATAGTATAACTTTGTATTTCTTATTTTCATATAGTCAATGTATCTTCAAATATGAAGTAAGATGAGTTTCCCTACTATGCTTCGACAGGACTATATTATTACAGCTAAACCATGAGTGTAATGTTTTTTTGTAAAGTGAGTAACAAAAAACAAACGTATATGATTCCTAAAAAAGTATTCAAATGTCGGAATTAATCTCCTATTTAATCATTCATATGCTTATTCTTTTGATTCTTTCATTTTTTCTTCGACATCGTCGTACTACTTGATAGCGTCATATTTCGAAGAAAAGTCATGCTTTATTACTTTCTGACTACATACGACATCTAAACGATCTTGAAACAGACTTCTAAATAATAGAAGTAACCTAGAAAACAAAATTGATCTAAAAATAATTAATAAATGTGAATACAAACTCAATGATTGTAGGACTGTCGCAAGTAGTAGTCAAAGATAGCATAATATGTATTTATCTAATCCCTTATGAAGGTCTGTCTGAATGATCTCTCAAAATTATATTAATAATGTCATTTATTAAAAAATTGTCGTCATTGCTTTCACTTCTATATGATAATAATATATTACAAAGAGTTGTTCTACAGAAAATACAGTTACTAACAATCAAAATACACAATACGTTTAAAAAGAATAGAGTGTTAATAGAGAAAAGTCAAACTATAATCAATTTTCTGTCTATCCATTGTTAGTTTCATAAGGGTGAAGTGTGAATGTGACTGGTTAAATAAATGATGAGGAGTGCCGTACGATATGAATACCAACATTCTTGTCGACAATGACATACACACACACATCTAGAATCATCTGCACCTTCATGCATATATTTGATATTTCTATCTGTTGATCTTGTAAAGTAATATATTTTACAGAAAGAGTTCTACATGCAGTTGAGAATCAAGCGAATCGCCATGATGTTTCAGCGTGCCTCTATCAGATTAATAATACTATCGTCCTACTGATTGACACCTACGACGAAATCTATTCGCTCTATTATATGTCAAAACCAACCTTATTCACACTAGCTAGAATCTATAGTAGAAATCTTATATTCATAAGATACTTTGAAAGATTCTATAAAGATCTTAGCACTATTATGACTGAACCGCCTTTTTCCGTTATAAAGAAAACGTATTCTATTATCATTGGTTTTCACCATCTCACCATCTTCAGTTATTAGGAAAGCGTATCCAATGAGCGTCAACTTTCCTTCTTCTACTCTCAGTGTTTAACAATGGGCAGGTGAGGAGGAGAATAGTTGCAAAAATTTCGACTTAAATTTATATTTATTATATTTTCGAAGAAAATATGTGTCACTTCATCAAACTTTGGTCATCATCAGAGGAATATTTAATCTTAGCATAACTAAATGAACTAATCTTATGATAATACATATTTTAATATGAATAATCACAATATGATCGACATGAAAAAAAAAACAGTTATGACGTTTCGGTAAATGTGACTTTAATATTTATCATGCTTGCTTTGATTAAGCACACAATAATGGCTTTTGTGTCAACATATAGAAGAATGATGAAAGTCAATCTTTTTCCAAGATCGAAGCTTTGTACTAAAGTAGGATATGGATTTGACTTTTTGTGTTCGTGAAAAGTTGTCAGTGAAATGAAACACAGTAATTCAAACTCATATTCTTATTTGTTTTGTTCTTCTCGAAAAAAATAGAATATAATATTAGACTTCAAATCTTATTCAAATCTCATTCATTAGCAATATTTTATTATTATAAAAAAATGAAAAAAAGACTGAACTGCGTAGTTTAATGAAATTAAAATAGACCAGTTCATAGTTTTAAATTTGAATTGGTGTCGCTAGAAGAACAGCAGGATGGAGTAATTTTCGCATTGGTAACGTCATTGATGCTACTTGACTTCTACGAAATGATAATTTTATAAGTATTTGTTTGATTTGTGGTGTAATAAATATGATTGCTACACTCAGTATGAATACAGCTACAGCTGGACCCACAAATTGAATTCGATACATATGATAAGAGCCTGAAAAACGAATATCAATATTTGTCATAATAGTAAAAACTAGATTTGGTAATCCCGGTAAAGTAAGAACAATGACCGTAAATAGAATACGACGAATAACAATGAGCCCTTCTTCTTTGTTGTTGTTGTGACAGTTGAAGAGTCTGATGACGAATAAAATGCAGTAAACGAGCATAGGTTAAAGCTAAGTAAATAAGAGGGAAAAAGAAAATATTGATAACCGTATAAGAAAGTTCAACAATTTCTTAATATGGAATACCACAGTAATAAACTGATTCATATAAAGAATAGAATGGTCCTGACCAAAAGTATGATGGAAGAATAAGAAGAAAACACATAATCCATTGCAGTACAATTCATTTTAAATTGAATGAAAATCCCTATAATTTCATTTAAAAGTAGATACAATTTATCTCGTTCTTAGTGTTTTAGACGGTTTAAACATCAATATAAATAATTATATAAAGCATGTTTGAAAACTATGCATGAAAATAATAAGATTAAAATTTACATACCTGTAAAAATCTGTATTTGGTATATATAACTCTTGTTAATCGGAAAAATGCTTGAAGAGCAAAAGTCATATATAAACAACCAAATGTTTCATAACTAAGAAAACCTAGAAGTTGACAATTAATTAATTGCCTATCGATACCATATAAATCTGCTTTAAGCACATTAATAGTCTGTAACATAATCATAAGAGAATATGCGACCATAGCGGCATATGTATTTGTTACAAGAAGCAGTGAAACATCTTTTTTTCGTGATAGATGTATGACCAAGATGAGAAACAAAGTGAAACTAATCAATATTGTAAGACTAGAGCTCATTAGAGTAACAAAAGTAATAGCAATATTTAACAACATTTTTGTTGTTTAATTGAATATTACAGATGTGTGGAAGAAAATTATATTTTTTTTTCTAGTTTTTCTCTCATATACTCTTTCATAATAGACAGGATGTTTTCTGAGTCAATAGACTGAGCACGTGTCTAACACTAGACATTTCTTTATTCAATAAAATTGTATCCACTTTTACCTTTCCTGTTTGTAGTCAAAGAACTTTTATATATAGTTTTTATAAAATCAAGTGAAAAAGAAGAAAATACTTCTAAATATGAAGGTCCACTTAAATTTCGATTATATTCTTCAATTCATAGTTTTCAATAATGATGTAGTCAACAGGTGTATATTGAGTTTGTTTTGACATTGGAAATAATGAAGTTCAAAAAATGTATGAAAGTCTTAGAACTCAAGTTTTTCCTTATTATATGTCTCAAGTGATGTCAACTAGCTTTTCATGTTTTTCTAAGTAAGATTTAACACTGCGATTCAAAGAGAAGGTGAAGTTCAAGTTCAGTAAGAAAACGATTTTTAACAGGAAATTAATGAATATTTTTTTCATTCCTGTCCATCAAATTTGTCAAGAACTTTTGAGTGATTGTTGACAGGTAATTATTTTACGAAATATATTTAATGAAAATTAGGTTTTTTTAAAATCAATTTTGCGTTCGTAATCATAGAAAAATGTTTGAACAGGCTCGTTTAAAAGGAAAGTAAGAAAAACCATGGATTAGTTTGTTATCCGACATCGATTTTTAGCATAATTTGAAATTGGAGCTTCCCTTTGAATATCATCATAAACACTATGTAGAAAAAGTTCAAAACTAGCTTGCCCTAGATGACTCATTATGTTCAATCCAACTACAAACCCAAAGCCTGGATCGAACAAACTTTGTGCAAATTTTTAATTTTTAGCACTTCACTACCTAAAAAAAATTTATTTCTCGGATATAAATTAAAAGATTAAACGTTAAAAATAGACTATTATTATCATCCATGCCAATTTGTACTTCAGTTCTCTCACATCTCAAACAGAAGAGTTCTCGGAACCATGGTATATAATCTTCAAAACACGTGCCAAAAAATAGGAAAAAAAACAGCTGCTTTACGATTGCAATTAATTTGAACAATATCATATCACAAGAATTTATATATCTTCTACAACCAAAAATAGTATAATTTGATTACTTGAGAAACACGAAGGAATTGAGCTGTCACTTAAATTATAATATGAATCAACAGTTATTTATATCAATGTTGTTAGTCGGTCGAATGCATGTCTATCTAATTGTACACTTTATTTTAGCAAAGATTTCCATAGAACTTTATATATGAATATTAAACATTCAAAAGAAATAAATGGGTTTTAATCGATGATTATATATGCATCGACGACGCATGTACTTAAGTATGACTATAGAAAAGAATCTTTTTGATTTAAAATCTAATTATAGTGTTAGTAATTAGAGTATTAGTTCAAAAGGCTCTGATTGTATATAAAATTACAGATAAAATAACTTCTTTTAATTTCTTTCTTTCATATTTTCAATGTATCCTCAAATATGAGGTAGGATGAGTTTTGCTATTATGCATCAACTGCGCTATAATACTATAATTAAGAGATGGACTTAACATGTTTTGTAAATTGTATAATAAAACCAAAAGTGCATGATGCCTAAGAAAGTACTTAAATGTTAAATTAATCTTTTGTTTAGTCATTTATATCCTGTCTTGCTCGATTCTTTCATTTTTGCTGCGACATAATCACATTACTCGACAAGTTCATATTTCAAAGAAAAGTCATGTTTCTTTTCCTTTTTAACTATATATACAAAGAGAAGGGATCCAAAAAACAGAATCGACTTTAAGTAATTAACGACTTCGAATGAAATTCAATGATTGTGAGACTATCGCTAGTGATTGTCAAGGAAAGCATAAAAGGTATTTACCGATAACATTATGAAGATCTATCTGAATGCTCTCAAAAATTATATGCACAATGGAAAATTCGTAGAAAACTGTCGTGAACACCTTTATTTAGATATGGTAATAATATATTGCAGAGTCATTCTACAGAAAATACAATTACTAACAACCAAAATATACAATACGTTTAAAAGGAATAGAGTGTTAATAGAGAAAAATCAACCTATTATCGACTTTCTATCAGTAGTATAATATATAATTTACTGTCGATTTATCGTTAGTTGCATTAATGCCATTGAGTTGTACTGATATATTCTTAATATCGATAAAAAGTGTATTGAATTGTTATGTTACCATTAATCATATGATACCTAGTGTGAACGTCATTACTATTGGTTCTATTTATTGAATATATTCATAAAATAACAGTTTGACAGATTCAAAGTGATAATCGCGATGATGAATAAAGTATAATTACGTAAACCAGAAAGAGTAAGAGTACTCAAAATGAACAAAAAAAACGACGAATGACAATGAAATTAATTTGAACTCTTGTTCCTGATAGGATTTGCGACATTTGGAAAGAGGGAGCTCGATGATGAATAGAGTTCATTTAAATGGCATAAATGATGGCCAGATTATGAAAATCAGGAAGGAGAGGTGCATGCATTCCTGTATGAAAGAGGTCGCTCATGACAGTAAAAGAAGTACATGATCGATTGTACTAAAACACAGAAACGTTACATGAAACTGACTACAATAGTATTGATACGAGCACAAAACTTGATCAACTATTAAATATGAATTTCTAACTTTTACGATTCAGTTTGGTTCAAACAAGATTTATGTCATTGAAGCGATCAAAACCCATGTGATTCGAATCGTAGAAAAACCGTCAGTTGACCGTTCGGTATAATATCCGCTATACCGGCGGTAGTTTCAAGTTTTACTGGTAGGATCAGAATACGAATCTACTGACCCGTAGTCTTATGATTCTAAGAATAAATATAAATATCATAGATAGCAAATTAGGTAAGTGGGTTTTCTATCAAGAAAATTCACTCAACCAATTTACTGCGTACGACAATTTACTTTTATTTTTAGATTCATAAGACTACGAATCGTATATATGATTAACAATCGTTGATTCCTCTTTTTTTCATCATTTTGTTGACAAGATAATATTCGGATTGATCTAAATAATAAAAAAAAAATACAATGTGTATAATTAAATACTTACTTTTCCTTTTGATGTTGAAATTGGTCTAAATAAAAGAAAACAAAATTATATAAATAAATATCCATATACAGCATTATTTTTCTAACCGTCGGTAGTTCAATGAAATGTACGACACGAAAAGTCATTCAATATTGATTTGCGATAAAAAAAAACGTGTTGTTATATCGGTACGTAAATATAAGAAATGATATTTAAAAAGGCTTGTGTTCAATCTGCTGTCGTTATTCATACTGAACAATGAAAAAATAACCGTCAATATGCTTCGGTAGCTTTTTGGCTGGCAGTATACCGCGTTACTCCAAAAAACCACCGGTATAACGTGGTATTGGAAGAAACTGGTGATAGTTCAAGTAAATATATGATATAGGTATCCTTATTATCAGAGATTTACTTGTATTTTCTGTTGTTTATCGTGCATACTTCGCACAGACATACGAAATAACAAAGTGAATATAATGTGGTAAGCGGATTAAGTGTACAATTAATTGATAATTGTACATGTAGAATTTGAAATCCTATGAAATTTTCTGTTCACCGATTGATGATAAGAGAGAAAAATTCTATGGAAATAAATAGTGAAAGATGCTATAGTAACGAAAAGAGACTCTGACGTCATTACTGTAATGATTAAAAGATAGATATGAGTAATTGAGGATATACGTTGACTTTTATATGATCAGAAAACTGAAGAATGACTCATGACGGTATACCGGCCGGTCAGGTCTGACCATCCTTACCCGTACTAGTGCCAATAAGGAAAAAAGCCTACAAGTTGCAACTCTGAAATACCGTTCATGTAAAAACGAAATCAAACAAAATATTACATGAAGAAACAGACATCTATTTATTCTTTTTTATTGATCTGCTTTACTCGAAGTAACCGGTAATTTGAAAGCTTACTTTTTTCACCTGTTAATAATCAATAAGCAGTCTGCTTATGTAAATATTTTGCATGATGATTAATTGTTACTTTAAAATAATTGTGTTCTATGTGAGATTCCACTGTATCGAACAATT